CGCCTAGGAAAGCTGGACTTACCTAACTCACCAATATGGAGATCACATTACTATTAACAGATTCGGCATTCATTTTGCTGTGTATTGAATTGTATCATACAATGTATTATTGACTATGAAAACGGATAAAAATAGTTGTATATTGTCTTTTATAAGTATGTTGTATGAATTCGACTTTAACAAATCTTGTAAATACATTAAAAATCAGATATTTTATATATTAACTTAAAAAAGCGAAAAAATCATTACAGGTATTGAAGATGTGAATACAATGGAATATTGGGATAAAATTATTAACACCAGCATTGAATAAAATTTAAATACTTTTTACGTTACATTTTCACGATAAAGAAATAAATGGTAGGAAATCAAATAATTCTCTTGTCAAACATCGACAGCTGAAATCTTAGAGAAATTATTTAATTTTCATTATTGTAAGGATTACAACTGCTTATATTGCATTTTAAAAAAAATATGGCAAACTTCTTTCGTACAGTCGCGGAAATACGCGGTGTTGTAATTATAGAAAAATTGTCTTGTAAGGTAAAAGACAATTTTCAATCAAAACAACAAGATAAGCTCCGAGATAACAATTAGATAGCACTGAGTTGCGTAATCGAAGGGATAATAATAAAAAAAACAATTTACCTTTTTAATACAAACTCATTTAAAAGTTCATTCTATTGCTTTTTTTCGTTTCATTACGTAGAAAACGTTCAAATGGCTACGTTTTATGGTCGAACATCGCCAGATTCCACGACTGTACTTAGTTATATGTCAAATTTGCACCGATGTCATTAAATGGCATTAGATTTGTAAGAACAAATATCAAGATGTAAATTTCAAGATTTGATAATAAATTCTTTATTGAATTCTGTAGCGCAATTCTCTCAGTTTTGTATTGTAGTTGTCAATTTGTTTGATGTTGAATAATATGTAAATATTTAAGATTCATTATTAATTATTAATAGTTAATAAAATTATTTAAATAAACTCCACTCAAAAATGTCAGAAAAAACTAAGATTTCAATAAGGTTAGTATTAAGTTTCTGTGAGGTTTTTTTTGACGAGAATGAATGATGTTTGTGTCAATTCGGCAGTGGGAACCCACGGTTAATAAGCACAAAATGTTACTTAAGCTGTCTAAGTAAAGAGACTATCATACATCAGAAATTGCTATACTCCAGTATCTATAATCACTAAGATAGTCCTTTAGTGAAGATTTATTACGGAAAATATATCCTAAAGAGCTGTTAATTAACCATTAAACTCTGAGTGAGGCAGATAATTACATTCCGCTAAGGGTTTCGGTCGAAGACAATAAAAAAATGATTAGGAAGGGTCCTTCGCGGGACATCACGTGGGAATCTCTTCATTTGTAAATAATAAAAATTATGTGATCTTAAAAGTCATAATATTTTTATAAGAACGCAGTAAAATCGCTCTGTAGCGTTTACGTTTGTAATACTTTAGTATTTTACTATTTAGTTTTGCTTTAGTAATTTATTTTCCACTTTTTATTAGAACTTTGAGTCAAAGCAGAGTCTCAGGATTGTTTAGGTTACTTATCTTGACTTAAGTTTATGCTTAGTCGTACTGCGGCTAAGTTATTTTATAGGCTAGTTAATATTGTTAAAGTTAAGGAACTCGATAGACTAAAGAATTTACTATAGGAACGACAAGTGGTGCGAACTGATGTTGAGCATTGAAAAGATTTAATAGGGTTAGATGCGGACATGTTGTTTGGAAGTTGTTAATATAATAGTTATTAATGTGGACTTTTATCTTCCCTTAGATAACGGTAAAAGTCATAGATATACAATCTATAGATGGAGTGTTTTATAAAAGTTATACATCTGATCAAGAATCGATTCTAGATATGTCATTTTGTATTGTAAATGACAATTTGAGGGATTTTCCCCCCAAAAAAGGCCTTCAGAGGTCTTCCGCCTCTTGTGCTCCAGATTGGGTATCTATAGGTTATATATCTATGGGTAAAAGTATTTTATAGATGTCTGATCACTGAACCCCTGCGGGTTTCGGGAAGTAGGTTCTACGGACATGCCTTATCGTGTACTAAAATCTCTCTATATTTTTTATGCGTTGTATTAAGCTGTACATATAGTTGACATGTATGGTGGATTGGTTGTTTTAATTTAATTAAAATTATATTATATATATACTGGTTACTGTATTGTTTGATTGTGGCCATCGGTCTGTACGTTACGTCGCCGCACGCCTCGGCCGTTGTGATTCATGAGAACAAATTGTTTTTGTTTCTAATTTATTTGTTCTAATTTATTCTTTAATGAGTCATCGATACTTTATTATTGTAGCGGTAATTTGCTTGTATTTTTTTATTAATTCGCTTTACGCATTTAATGCCTTTGGCTAACAGCGGTCGACAGTCAAATAGAGTTAAAAAATTGATCCCAAAATCTAGTACAAATGTCCACCGTAATGCTATTCGATTAGGGTCCGTTTTGCCGTGTGTTTTTGTTTCTAACCTATAAGAATAGCTGTCCACTGAATGGTTTGTGTTGTATGCAGTTTATAGAGAAGTCATAGTTATTATTGTTGATTATTGTAAAGTATAACTACGATGTAGACACGTTTACTCTGGCCTGCACAAACTTGCACATGATGTCTGTCGCCTCTTAGATAGTCGTAAATGAAACACTGCGCACTTTGTCTATGGAAATATTAGCTAAATGAAAGTGAATTCCATAAATGTACTTAATTAGACAAACGATAGATTTTCAATAGGATTAATATAACACTTCATGCCGGTTTCAGATGAATACGGTATTATAGATTTTTAATAGTTGCCCTTTTCACCATATCCAATTTTGGGATCAAAATTCTTTATTGTTTTCTATCTTTGGCAACAAAATTTTTACAAGACATTAAATTCGTGATGTCCACAGTTGAAGTAAAAAATAAATAGAAAAATGTAATTTTTAATTGTTCGGTATTTTATTTTATTTATTTACAGTGTTTAATTTGGTACAACTTTTACACTTAGTCTTGGTAATTTTTAATGAGTTTTACAATAAAATTTTTCCTTTCTAGTTTTTAATAGGTGTTGACTACAGCTGTGGACGTGAGGGAAAACAAAATATTGTGTTATGGTATACCGAGCAGCTTTATTATTGTACGTAGTTTTTTGTTTAAGATGCCATTTGTTGTAACTCATGTTTTAATATTAAAATTAAAGTCTTTAAAATATTTCTTATTTTTATTTCTATTCCCAAAAATCTTCTAGACTAGTTATTAACATGTAGTTTCATAGAATGTTAGTTGCGATACAAAAATCATCATATATCTATATAATATTATAAAGCAAAGATTTGTATTTTTGTATGTATTGAAATATCTCAAAAACTGCTTGGCCGATTTTAAAAATTCTCTCACCGTTAAGAAGTTAATTTATCAGTGAGTAAAAGGCTATTTTTTTACTTTTTAATTCGGGGACGAACGAAGTCACGAGCAACTAATTATTTAATAATTTACCACGTAAACTAACCATAGAGTTATTTATGCTTTTAGTCGGCGATTTTTTTAGTAATCAAAAGAGGGTAGGTTATTTGTTGGAAAGTTTGACAAGCAAAAACTCAGTACAGTGCTAGAAACTTGGGAACATAATATCTTAGTTAGAAAATAAGAATAAAACTGTAGAAGTGCATATAACATGGATATAAACAATGAAATACAAATATGTTTGTGCAACCACGTTCCGATCTCTAATAGGGAATATCCAATTTTCTGTAAGTATATTTTGTTTTAATAAGTAGATAACCAATCGCGACAATGTAATCGTACGTGTTTTAACACATTTTTTCACGAATTAGTTATATTACATATATTTATCTATAATATCTATACTGATGTAAAGTGGAATGATTTGTATATTTTATATGTATTTGATTCACGTAAATACTACTTTGCCAATTTAAAAATCTTTCACCATTAAAGGTAATTTATTTGAGAATAACATAGGCAATGGTTTTTTAATTTCATGCGGTTAAAGTCGCGGGTGAAAGCTACTCTTTAACCTAGATCTCTGTAATTTTAACTGAAAACTATTTTCATATCATAAAATATGTGACAATGACAATATGCAGGCAATGTTCACTATTTTTCATTGATGGATCATAAGTTATAAGGAATCTTACGATAGGCATCGGTGTTGTTGTCCAATGGGACAAAATTACCGTGAAGTTGAGTCACTGGCTCGTATTGTGTGCGAGCGGAAGCGAATGATTGTCTGCAAATAATCCCGCGCCTCAACTTTTGTTACTCGCATCTAACGTAATTTACAACCTACGAGTACTACGCAACTACTCTTTGTTCTCAATGTGAGAAAATACAAGATATTTATGGGCGTCAACAGGAGGGTTAGCTGCTGCCCTTATAGAGTCGAAAATTTGTAAAATAGATATGAAAACTACATTGAATAGACTATATTATTCCTAACTGCCCTCCGCCTTCACTGACCCAGTCTAGATCATCGGATGTCGACGCCCATAGACATTTACCATTTGGAGTTTGTATAAAAATCTTGGCAATTCGAAGGTTTTTTTTTTAATTCAACGGCTAATTTATTTTAGACAAGTCCATCATGGGTCGATGAATGAGTCAGCTTGCAAATCTTCTTGTTCCTAAGCATTGTGTGTCTTCATTGTTTGGAGGATGTAGATATTTCTAAACAAGGACCTCTACCTCGCTTATACGCATTGAGCTGTCATTCATGGTACATGAGCGGTTAATGGTTTTGCGAACTCTTACAATGTGTAAATCAATCACTTTACCATAAACATTTTTAATGGTAGAAAATTAAGTAGTTTTATATTTTGACAGTATGCAAAATGCAGGTTTTTAATAAGCGTACGGTTTATCTAAGCTTTATAATACTAGGGTGACGCATATGAACCAACTTTTACACAAATAAACCAGTTCGTATGTATTGATGTTTCATAATTTTGTCTTGTCATTGTTTGGGTAAAAGTGCCACTTTATTATTAAAATATTGTGTCCTTACCGAGTTATCACAATTGTAGAGTTCTATTAGGGCTATCCGTCTGTATTTCTAAACGGTCACTAGTTTAGAGATTTCGTTACACATTTATTTGGCACTTTTTGGACATTCCATCTATTTGGTTGTTTTGTTCCAGGTCATCTTTATAATGCCCCTTCTTATTTACGCTCAATGCTTTGCTATGTTTTCTCATTGATATTTTAGTGTACCTTCATTCCTCCTGCAAACGTAGTATCGCAATTAATTGTCTAAATGTAGATATACAGATATCTAAAACTTCAAATTAGAAGTTTCGAGTTAGTACGAAGAGTATAAAACATACGGTAATAACACAATGTACTGCAGACAAAACCAATTGTTATGATGTAGGGTCGAGCGGCAGGACGCGGTATTTGGTCAGTATTCAACCAGCTCCCTGCCACTAGCCCGTGCTGTACTCGGACCGTGACACGTTCAAAAATTAATTCCAAATTAATTTTATTACCATTATTACGCGGTTAACCACCGAGACGAGTGTGTCTTAGTTTGTACGTGTTTACGTGTTTCTCTCGAGGCATGAAAACAGCTCCGCGCGCTCGACTGCTACCTTTCAAACAAAATTATTGTCTCCAATTCATCGTGGAAGAATTATGCACTCGTAAGTTATCAGACAGATACCTAACATAAAATACATTGTAAGCCAGAGAGTAAGGCAGATTACAGACTTCCATTTAATACGGTTTCTTCTGTATTTATAAATCTACGGACACTAGTTTAAAGGCTACCAGTTTCTCTCCTTTATGACATTCCTCATTATAAACCACTGTCCACGTCCAGTAAAGTATTGCAGCACAATGTAGTGAGAATGTTAACGTCTATGTACTCTTGTATTAGCCACTCAATTAGCAACAAAATTTTGCTTTGTCATTATGTTTTCATTCAATCTGACTGTACTACCGAATCAGATTTTTCACCAATCTATACTAGATTGGTTAAAAAGATTTTTTTGAGTTCGAAACGATCGAACTGTGGACCCTCATAAATTGTTAATTGGTACTACATTATGGCAATCTACATATATAAAATATTTTATGATGTTATTACTTAATAAAACAAAAGGGTATATAAACGTTAATACAAGAAAATTTTACAAAATAGTTTGACAATAATACAAAATGTTTGTTCAAAATAATCGACTTCAATGGTCTAAGATAAACGTGACTATTAAATTGAATGTAATTCTCACGTATATTAAATAGCAGATTAAAAAGCTGATATTTTTTATTTAAATACGTTTTCAGTTATAACTTATTACAATAAGTATATTAATTATATAATTGTGTGAAAATAAAGCATTTAACAAACAAATGATTAACTCTTTTTAATAACAGTTATATGATCGCTTTGTGTTTATTAATATATTGTTCACAAATGTTTTTAAAACCTTTGTGTAGAGCTTGGTCCAATTAATATTGTGAACAATTTCTTTCTTACTTCATACTTTAAACCATTAACCTAATTATAGCACATAAGCATAAATAGATTAACAAGACCTTCTAAATACATTTACATAGCATCGCAGGCTAGGCATTACCTACTAGTTGTTTACATTTGTCAAATTCTCAATTGCAAATGTCGAAATTACCGTTACCATAATAATCTCGCTTCTTTAATGTTGGCAGCTTGTAGTTTATGGTACCTTTCCCACATGAATGTTTTGCCGATTCATTTACCCTCTAAGTTTAATAGGGTGGAAATATGTAGCCTATAGTTTGTCGTAAATGTAGGACTTTATATTAAATAAAGAATTATTCAAAAATATGCTGTGATTAATGGCATCCTACGCCACGATGTATCATAGTTTGTGATTACGCTTTATTATACTAGTATACATTACTTCTAAAGCACAGTTACCTATAGTTGTAAGAAATAATCAAATTGGCTAGAAAATCTAAATCAATAAATAGAATGGATTGATTTTGGTTCTCTACCACATAGGTTATAATTTCCTAACGGACTGCTTGTCAATTAGTCATTTAAAGATGTAGGACGATTGTCCGCCGGAAACCGCTACAATTCCGTCGTACCAATCGGCCTACATTTACCTTTTGTTCTATAAATGCTTCCATATGTCTAATTTTCCGTTTTAGACCGCTTAATAATTTCTTGTACTGATTTCAATCATTGTATTTAATCGCATCATGATTTTTCTAGAACTAACAGGGTAGAGAAGTAAATTTTTTAACCCTGTCTTCAAAAAAACTCTTTGGTCTATCTGAAATTCTAAAACAAATGGTTTGTTATACGTCCATATTCCTACGCGTGGTCAATAGCACAATACTTTTCTTATTTACGTATCTCGTCTTTACTGTGTCTAACCGCGCGCTACTCATGTTATCTCGGTGGGTTATTTCACGATTTTTAACTGAATTGTGAAATATTTTTGTACGCGGAAAATAATCAAATGAAACTCTAACGTCAGATACCGGACTAAACATATTTGATAATTAGGAATACTCTACTTTTTCAACCATATGTTTACCATTATTTTGGAATTTCCATCTACATCATAATAAAACTATTGTTCAATTGACTATGCAAAATTTATACAATGCACGTGATTTTCAAGAAAAAAAAAACCTCATGATAATTAAACGAGTGACGTGACTCAAGGATTTTAACGTGTTATACGTAAATTTTAAAAGTAAAAAAGTTTTTATGTCTCATTACGATTATAATGACCGAGTTCAAAAGCCTTATTCTAATTAACTGTATTAATATTGTAAGTAATCTTCCGGAATTATATTCATAGGCGCAATAAACCAACGCTATATACCGACCATATATATCGACCATTCTTTATATTTATAAAACTCGTCATCATCTTCCTCCTTATCCTTCTCCCGTAGGGTCGGTGCAACAGGTTTTTGTCCTCCACATAACTCTACGTCATCTCAGTCATCACTCCCTTTTTGATCATGTTACCTTTTACGCAATCCATCCATCTCTTTCTAAGTCTACCTCTACCGGTGTACCCTTCCACATTTATTAAACCAATAATTCAAATTATTTTAACAAACTTATATGTCTGCTTTTTTCTTTTTGAAGACTTCTTTTTTTTCAATAATAGAAGCTATTGTCGATTTTTATAGCAATTTTCGACAATACAAAGCCTTTCGATTCATTTTATTTAAATATTTTAATTAATTTCTTAAGCCGCATAACAACAATATAAATATGATTTGCGCTGTTCAGTGACTGTCGTCAGCTGTGACGGCGCGAGCGCGGGCACAATAGACCTTTCCGCTAACTAGACTAATCCAATTAATGAATAAACATTCATAATTGCCGATAAAAATGTACAGCACCGCTTCCCCCTAGCAAAGCGTTTTAACAATACAATATAAATGCGTAAACAACACGCAGAATAGACGAATCTTTTAGTACATGATTCACAAAGCGCTTATGGAAAATCGATTCTCTTGAATTTGCTTATTAATAAATGTGTTCTTTAAAAAATCTAATAATTAACATAGCCTATGTTTAGGCATAGTGTAGCTTCTGAACAGCGATTTTTTTTTCAAATAGGTTTAGTAGTTAGGAAGCACGCAAACATTCAAATGTCTCTTCTTTTTAATATTAGTACAGAAGAATACTCGCCTTCTATATAGTTAAAGGCATGACTTAAACTATAATAACATGAAATTTGAAAAACACAAGAAGTAATTTTCCTGAAATAATGAGTTACCGCCTTAGATTATAAAGGACTTGTTGTTTTCAAGCTTGATCTCGCTGCAAACAATACGTCACATGTATATTTTTCACGTGCGTATTTTTAGCGTAATGCGTAACGCTTTCTGAATTATTGAATTATATAAATGTAATTGTTGACTTAAATGACTATTCTTTGTACAACAAACCTAAACATCGTTGATTGAATAACAAATTATACAACAAGATTTAAATGTTTAAAGAAATTATGTATTATTTTATAGGAAAACTGTATGAATTGTTTTTTTAAATCCTTTTAGAGCGCACACACCTTTGACTAAACTATCCCACAACCGTTTAGTCGCGCTTTGGTTACTATGAGCTTATGTGGCGTTGCGCACACGTTAAATTGGCTGCGAACAATCGACAATCGCATAACAGTTGTGCATAGTTTAGTCCTTTTCTGGGTCGTTTCTCTATTTGATCCAATCGCTTTCCTCTTGTTTTGAATATCTATAAATCTCTCAACGATGATTTGGTCTATTTGGTGGTTTTTATTATTTTCCTTCTGTTTGTGTAGTGTGCGACGTTGCGCTTATGGCCACTTTACTGATAGACTGAGTCTTAGTTCAGACAAAGATTTGTGCATCATCTTAAGATGTTAGTCTCCCGTTACCATATTTTCCTAAAAATCCAAAGATATCTGAAAAGAACTTTTTGTAATGCGTTTTTATTGTATCGTAAATGAAATAAGAAGCTAATTTTTTGTTGTGTTTTCGTAGATTACTTTTTTATCGAACGGTAAGATTTGTAAAACTACGCTACCATAAATAGATTTCTCATTGTAAGCTCATTGGAATTAAAGTTACAACGTGAATTCTAGGTTCATGTCAAGACAAAGTATAGAATTAAAAAAAAAAAAAACAGTGTTTTGGTTTTAAAAACTATTGTTCATGATAAAACGGAAAAGTGAGGATCAGAGATAAGTTCAAATTAAAACATTCCTCCTATTTTAACCAATTCTCATATATCTAAGAAAATTTATTTATAAGTCATAAGAAAACCTCATCAGTTTTCGTCGATCATTTAGTTTTCAACTCCATTCTTATAAGAAAACAACAAAAATTTTCCATTCAACTATTGTAAAAAGAAAAATGATCGAGAAGTTTAAGAATTTATTTACGCGCTGATTTCATTCATTTAGTTAAATTACTCAAGGTCTTCCGCTGCACGGTTTTTGTCGAAAGTCGTAAAAAAATAGACAAGTGAAATGTAATTCCATTTTTTTTAAGTTTTACAGCTTCGCAGCCCTTCGACACAGGTCTTTTATAGTTTTTTTGTATCATTTCTTTATAAGGTCACAGCATTTGTCCACTGCCGGAATCGCCATATGAAAACATACTCCTCTCGTTGTTTCTGCCAAGAGAAAAAGCGGGATAAAAACAATAAATCTATATTACTGCGTCGGCAGTAGAACTCCACTGTTCGATAAGTGGTCAATTTATATTCAGAATAATAATTCTGTTTTATGACAAACTCCGAGTATTACTGGCAGGTTTAGATATACCACAAGTGGTGTTACAGATGTAGTCGAAGCGAAGTTGTGCGCAGCTCGTAGCGCACTCTCGTGACTCTAAACTAGGGCTGCCTTGCGACGTGTCATGAAGTCATGGTGTACGTTTTATTACGAATTTGTCTTCATTTAGGTCGCATTCAGAACACTTCCTGTACGATTTACTTCCGTCATGTAGCAAATAGTTTTAATGAACTTGTTTTGATATCGAACAGCGGTATAATATTGACTGATGAAATAACATCAAATCCAGCTGTTTGTTGGAAAGTTTAGATACACTTTATTACTAAAAGTCATTTACTAGTATTGGCATCGTTGGTTACATCGTCAGCACATACACGTTCTCACAGAAGAGTTCGAGCTTACCTAAAGACCTGATTTAATTCACACATCTTTGACTTTCTTCTCAGAAATATCCCATTATAGTAGATACTGCTGGTATAGTTTTGTAGTATCGGTTCCTGGAACAAAGGCTCTCACCCCTGATGGTAACGAAGTTGGCCGAAATAGCGTCTCACGACAGCCGGAACACTTGATACTGGCATTATTGATAAATTGCCGGCTCGATACGGCGCTGGCCCGCCACTACAAACCTCTCCACATGATTTCCACTTCTCACTTCAATGTCACATCTCTAAAGATAAAGGACGCAAATTATGTAAATACATGCTGGTGTTAACTGAATCAGGAAGTTTGAAATTTGTCTATTACTGTTCCACGCAGGGACGTTCTTAGTAGATTGAATGAAGAAACAATAACAAGTAACCTTTTATTTTGCTTTCAAAAAGCATTAATGACATTAAGTGACGTCTTATGTAGTTTAGTTAAATCATGTTTTCGTTAATTTCCATTGCCTGTTCCACACCCTAATTCCAACATCTAAAGTATTTTTAGAACGATTGTTTTTGCATCAAATACCTATAATCTTACGGAAATTATCAGATCCAAACTTTGGAATGATTTGTTGTGTGTAAAAATCGCCATAATAAAAACTATTACATTGCAAGTTTAAGTATGTAGATATTAAAGTACTCAATGTGGAAAATCAACTGTTTTCTTGATATTATTATACTCGTAATCATCTTTAATTTAATATAGAGATTGAGCAATCTTTGATCCACGGCAATTTATTCTCGGTGCGTTTGTTTTTTATTACATCGATTTGTCACTTGTAGGATGTGAATTAGTGTGAGAGTGTTTGTTGATATCCTGTGTATGAGTAAAAAAGCTCCCTGCTGCAACGTCGCCGGAACATGTCCATTGTAACTGTGGCTTTCGGATGCAGTGAACACTTTCTGCCTCTGGTTTTTCAATGGGAATGTATGAGATGGCAATATGTTTTATTAAAAATATCATTGCAATTGAGGTTACGGACATAAGGACAATATACATTTAAATGTATCAGTCATCTTTCCCCCAGGATAGCTCAGTGGCATAAACAATTAGAATATTTAACGGATTAGTAGCAAATAAAATTATTTCCAAAGACAATTTTTGGGCACCAAATTGCATCGTTACCAGCTTAATTGTTGGTGCGAGGTTTTCCCATAACTTCTTGCCTCGCGTTGTAGAATATTCTATCTATCCTTAGATGTATTTCCCAACAGTTATCCTTCAAAAAAGAACGTACAATTTCCTTGAAGGCTGACAAAGCATCCGTAGGTGTTTGTATGTTGCGAGTGTCCATAGGCCTCGGAACAAAAAATATTAGGATATGTTCTGCAAAATTGCCCATTCTCCTATAAGAAATTATAGTCAATATTATCTATGTAAAAAATGAAAATTCCAACATCATGCGTGAATAGGATCACGTAATCGTAGTCCAGTCTCGTAACTATCATAGTAATTTGGATCAATTCAAGTGACTACAGTACTCAAATATGACGCACAAAGAATCAACACTTATTCCATCAATCTAGTTTTGGCAGGAAGATGTGTCAAAACCGGTTGATGTTTTGTAAATTAGGACGTAAACGGAAACGTGTTTCTTAAATTATATTATTCTGCAATACAATCGAGACAAGAGATTATTTATAACCTCCGAGAACGTCATATAATCAAAGCCAGCTTTATCAAAAGACTTTCCAGTTTGAGTTAGATCTTGACACGTGGTTATCGAATGATGCAGAAAAATTTGATAATAATGTAACTAAATGCTTAAATAGGAACATTGGCAGTTTATTTTTAGTTTTTTGATATTGCTAATAAAAACCACTACCGCCAAAAAACGTTAAAAAAGTATTCATTAGTTAGAAGACTTTGCTAAAAGCAAATCGATCGATTTATTTGAATGCGCCCGGAAATCGCTTCAAAAACTAGTAATATGCCAAGCCTAAAGAATCAAGAAGTGGATGGAACCTAGGATGTCTAGTCTTAATTGTAACAAAAGGCAGCAGTTGGGATATTGGCACAAGCACAGATAAACAAATCTTTTATCAAGTCTCTATTTAGTTAAGATTTTTGCAATCAAAGTCGATAACAAACATGACGATTGTTTAAAATAAAGTAGTTGTATAGAAAGTTGAAAATGAAGTCGAGATGTATATTTGATGATGTCTTAGTGCACTAAGCCTTATGACGCAAATATGTATTTATTTAATGGCTAAATACTGAATTAATATTTTTGATAATTTTATGCGTAGTTGTTTTCTATCTAAACTAATGATTGCTGCGTGTTCGCTCGTTTGGAATGAACAATTAACTTAAGAGAGATAATTCTGGTTAATGTAAATTCTCTTTATTTCATGATCTTTACTGTTATTTGTTGTTATTGAAATTATTTGCAATAACAAGAAACTGTATTCATTGGCGGTTTAGTGTTCGTCAGTTGCAAAAATCCTGCAGCTGTCGGTTATCATTCGAAGTACAAAGGCAACAGTAGCTAGGTACTCGTGTTACTGTTAATTCAGCGCAATCAACAACGATCTAAGTAAACAACGCTCTGACAAAGTAAAATCGACATAACCTTATCATATAACATTGTACTGTTCAAACAAACATATAAATAATCTTGTTCTCTTAATAAATCAAGTCATAAATTTATTAATCCAAAAATAAACATAGAAATGGTCGATGAAAAATGCAATAAAATTAAACGATTAAATAATTGAGACTTAAGAGATAAAATATTTCTAGACAATATTTGGTAAAGATACTGATGGATTCGAAATGACGACTTATGCTTTACGGCTCCAATTGTCTATTTTCGGCACAATTACTTTTGAAATAGCATGTATCACAACGGGCAAAAGTTATACTTTCCCCGGAAAAGCATTCAAATGTCGGCGCTACATCAAATCCATGATCAAATAGTATTTACATGTTTCTCAGAGTATTTGCGGCCGGATCTGGCGTGTTGACTCTCGCGGGGCCTCGAGATATATAGGATGTTGCAAAGCGGCCGCCCGCACTCCTCGAGTGTTGGTCCCAGAGACGCCACCTAGTGTTAAGTTCACCTCATCACCTGCTGGTTCATAGCCACACTAGTGGCAGAACTACCTCACCGCACCGTAATCACCAGGAGAGGCACATCAGGCCGTCATGTGAGTCTTTTAACATATCCTCCAAACCGTCATCAAACGTCTATTCGCGAAATTTTGAAAGGAAGTTTTTAGATGCTAATTTGCGCTTCGTAAACCTAAAGCAAACAAATGACAAGCCCACACTTGCGTAATGATCGCCTAGATGAAATGTAGAATATTCCGTTTTTCAGTTATTGGCAGCGCCGAA